AAATAGATAGGATCTAGGCTACCCACCATTTAGATGTACTGACTGCTATATATTCAGTCCTTCCAAACTAGTCTCCCCCTGCCTAAAAACGGACTTCCTGACAATTTCACGGTTAATTTTTAACTGTCTCAAACATTATTCTTCAGAGGAATAGTGCAGGAAAAGATAGTTCAGGCCGTTTGATTCCACAAATGCTTTCCCTTGTTGCCAAACCCATGCCTCTTCCAGCATTTCACATTTGCCCTTAGGTGGGAGCATTCCCCATGACTGTTGATCTCTCCCCCCCACAACCCCACACCCTGGCAGGGTTCCTGATATCCAGGCCCCTGGCAAATGTCAAATATTACATCCTATACAAGTTGTGGCTTTGCTCAAAGCAGCTGCCCTGCAAAACTCAGGTTGCAGCCCCACAAACCTTCAGTGTAGGGCCTTGCACTGAAAAGTATTGCAATTGCATTCTTCATTGAAATGCATTGAACTGAAATACAGCCACATGCATATATTGAAAAGACACAGACTTCAATATTGGCACGTGCTCTGATAAATATGATGAGAAATTGCTTCTTATCTGAAGTCTGGATTTGTCCTAATCCCACAGGGAGGAAATGGAAATGACCTAAAAGTTAGCTCTTTGGGGCTTTTGAAACAAAACATTAGCCACTCACATCTCTTTTTTAATTGATCCCGCTGTATGGGGTCCAAATAGTTGAAATATTTTGTCCAGAAACCATCAGTTGCTGTTGGTTGCTGAACAAGCAATTATATGAAAGAGCTTTAATCGTTTATTTTTTCCAACTGCTTCTAGTGAATGGCAATTGTCATGCAAATAAATAAAGAGATAAACGTTATGTTAGCTGAAAAGTTGTAAAAAAGTTACATTATGTAAGGTAATGTTTGACACTGCATTAGCTCATTAAACTAAATTACAGATTGCTTTTTTTTTTTCTTCTTTTAAATGCAACATCAAAGGCGATTTAAGTAACTTACTGCATTTTTGGGAGAGTGATTTCAGCTTGATTGCTATATGTGCTGTTTGGAAATTGTGTATTGCAGGTGTGTACATAATTTTATGGCTATGCCAAGATATTTTATAACAAAATTTTACATCCAAATTACATCTATATAATTTAATGGGCTAACCTTTTTCTTCTTATTGCATCTCCAGCCATGCATCCACTGCACACAAAGCATTTTCTTGGCTTATGAGACTTAAAACCATCAGACCACCGAAGTACCATGAATTAAACACAGTGCAAGTAATGACGACATTCATACTAGCATATCAAACCAGAAAGAAAATTGCACAGCCTCTCAAATATCAAACTTCGGGCTTGATTCATTCCGTGGGTCTGTGACCTGACAAAGCAGTGTGATTAATTGCACACATATTCCCTCAGAGGTTTTCCTGCTCATGCTTTCTGCAGCAAAGATTGTTAGCTTGACAGATCAGCATAGCGACCTCTTAAGATGCCAGAAAGGGAAGGGGTTGGTTTCTGATTGAAAGTTAATGGAGGAAGAGCAGCTGCTCCATGCTGAGGAAAAAAAAAAAAACCAAACCAAAAAACACCCACCAAAAAACCCCCCAGCTTTTGATTCTCAAAGAAATCACAGACAGAAATAAGCTGATTTTTTGATAACTCCAGCTATAGGACTTCTGTCAGGGACTGCAAGAAACTATTCACATGATACAATAGGCTTCATAATTAGGAATTCTGTTATGCTTCCTTTCATCTGATATATAATGGCCTGAGGTTTTTTTTTTTCTTTTCTTATTAACCACTGTTCTAGATGCCTCCTCTTCCATGTGTGTGTTCTTGGTTTTAAGATACTTTTGGTCATTTAGGCTGAAGTTTGCAGAAACACAGGTTTGGCAGGCAGCTCCCCAGTTTGCAATGCTGGTGAAAGGATGCTTGCACATGTATGTTCCTTCTGTTAACAGGCAATCCACACTGTCCCACCGTTGTACTAGACCTACCTACCAGGTGTTGACTGCCCAATTTAAAATAGTTTTAACTTTTCAAGAAGGGCCTAAATTCCTAGCAAATTGCATTAGACAGCTCCTCAAAATTGCTTAATCCCTACACTTTATCTATGAAAGGGTTTTAAACATTAACTAATGTTTACCCTTTCGTTTCCCAGCTGGACTCTGATGGGCTAACACACACTTGACGGATCCTTTCATGTAGTGTGTGAAATGAGCTGAGATGCCTGCTGGCCCTCTGTAGACATCCCTGCTCCTGTGAGGATGACACTGCAGCCCTGGCTCAGGAGCGGAGGGCTCCTGGGAGCAAACAGCAGCAGCACTAGGGCTGGGGCAGGCAATGGCGAGCTCAGCTGGGGTGGCGGATACATGGACAACTCTGCACTCTCGCACCTTGCAGACGTCTTTGCTCTGATCTAGGACAAATCCCTCAAAACAAACCTGGAAGTGTGAGTCTGGAAACTGAGACCTGTGCCACCTCTCCATTGCACTCCCCAGCTTGCATCCCAGGTGATAACAGCCCTTCAAATTCAGCAGACTGGGCTGGACCCCTGTCAGAGGGCTACGTTTACACCAGAAATGACAGGTAATGATCTGTGGAAATGTCCCCGGATACCCCCATGACATCCCTCATCTGCTCTGAGCATTGATCAGTAGCTAAATTCTCTAATGCGTTGTGAAATCTCATCTTTTACTGGCCACACAGAAATACACAAAGCAGCAACAGTGCAACAAAAAATTCTCCCATTACTTCGACTTTTAAAGTGAGCCTAAGAAGCTGACAGAGCAAGATACTGCATAAACAAAATTATTTAATTGCACTACATGAAAGAGAAGGCAGGTCTTGATGAAGCAGAGCAGCAGACGGCATGACAGGACAAAATTCCTCAAAGCAGTAGGATATAAATATTGAATAAAATGCAGAAGTCAACTCTGCAGATGGCTCTGGAAAAAAAGCAGCTGCTCTGGCTGCAAATACACTTTGGAGAATACACCAGAAAAACTGGAAATCCACGAAGCCAAGGGGGAAATCAGTAAATAATCCTCTAGAAGGAAATCCCCAGCTTCCATGATCAAGTATGTGGATTAGAAAGACATTTCTAAATCAACGAGGTGCAGGTGAGGACAGAAGAGTGAATTTTAGGATTTTTTTTCCCCTCAGCATCACACTGCTAAGCCAGGGAGATACTACCTGTCTTTGCACATTAATTTAGATGTTTAATTTGGGATGTTAGTCTCTGCAAAATTTAATATCATCCTTGTAACCCTTACTTACTTCCAGCGGCCTTTGCAAATGGCATTTCTAACAGATTTAAAGATATGATTGCCAATCGAGCAAGCTGCATTAACTCAATTCGCTTCTTGCCTTTTGCTTGGTAAATCAGCAGCACAACTCAGCCACAAAAGCTTCCGGAGCAAAGATAGAGAGGATTTTGTTAATCTGGATTTGTGAGCCCCAAGCTACTGACTTAAAAATCCATGATGAATCTGTGTCACCCTGTATTTCCTTCTCCCTTGGGAAAGCAAAGAATGTAAATATGCAGAAAATCAGGGTTATTCCCCTTACCTGTAAGAAGTTACCAAGACCAAAATAGAGGAGGGGAACTGGCCACCACCTTACACAGATTACCAAACCACCCCACAGCAGCAGCTTTCTATGATTTGCAGAGTGTGAAAAAGTAATATATAAAAAATATATATATATAGTAATCACCACCCCCCCAAAAGAGATAGACGTGTGCAATGTTTCCACAGGTTGCTGAGGCACAGCAATCACTGAGGACGGGAGCGATGCCATGGCAGCGAGACGTCGTGAAAGGAAACACCGTGTCTTTTGCAGAACAGCACTTCCCTCATCACTGAGCAGCATGACGCCCACAATGTGTAAAACTTCACAAAATAAGAAGCTGTATGGAAATCAATTCTTCAATGCACAATATGATTAATCTGAGATGGAGGCTGAGCAATACAAGCAGGTTTGTCACAGCACCTTGTGCCAACAAAGCTTTCAGGCTTTCAAATCTAGCAATTTTTTTGTCCTTGGGAAATACCTCGCCTATGTGTCAAAAGCACAACGAAAATGCAGGGTATTTAAACATAATACTAAGAATATCAGAGATTAGTACAATGAGCAGTGTGGTTAGAATTGCAGAATTGTTAATGTAGATTGAAATGCTTTGCCAGTAATCACATGCTGAGAGACTTACTTTCCTGACTGAGCCACGTGGCTTTTCTCCTCCACTGTGTGCCAGCCCTGCAAAACTGCACAGCTGGTCCCAGGAGTGCACAGCCCTGTGGGGGCGAGGACGGGTGCCATGAATCTACTCCAGTTTCAGATGTGCTCAGGAAAACTGCCAGACATACAGAAATCTCTGCACTGAGCAAGCAGCTGAGGGCCAGCACTCCTGTTGTATGCAACAATCTGCAGGGATGGACACATAGAGGAGACCCAGCGAGATGCTGTGCCCAGCCTCCCTTGCATTTTCTGAAACACCCCCTTGGAGAGACCCTGCATGGGGCTGGCGTGAATGGAATGGGCAGTTTAGCAGCAAACACCCTACAAAGAGTTGATGTGCTCCAGCCATCCCTGGAGCCCCGTGCGTGACATCATAGCTCCACTCAGCAAATGCTCAGGCACTCTACTATTTGGGGAAATCACTCATAAAACAAATTCATGTAAAATCATTCCAAATCCCTGCTTCTTAGAGCCTGAGAGCATTTTGGTGAAAAGAGAAACTGAGAGGGGACAGGAAAAACTGTAGGGACCGAGTACCACCAAGGCAATAAAATTAGACCCAGTTTTTAATCACCTTTTCCAATAATTGTTCCATTTTTGGAGAAGTCTTTTGGAGAGATGTCTACATTTCTTCACAAATGAACAGGTGATGATGAAAGACTTCATCTAGACAGAAGCTTAAGTTTGAATTTTAAAATTAAGTTCTACACAGTGAAAAAATAAATCAGCACACTGTTACTTTTGTCTTAAAGCTTTTTTTTTTTTTTAAAAAAAAAAAAAAAGAAAAAACTCAAAGCAACCAAACTTTATTAATTTGGAAATACAGTCTGTCATAAAGTAAATATTTTAAATATTGAATATTAAACAATAGTAAAGATCACTTTGTAGAGATGAAATGAGCATCATCAGGGGTTTTTATAAACTGTCTCTTGATACTGCTAGGACCTGCGTAGCTGCTGTTCAGGACTAACAGTGCACAGCATATTTGGTGCAGTGTAGATTTTTTTTGGTTGAATATACTTATTTACTGTCATAGCAGAAGCAGCAATTAGCTGACATTTCATGGGGCAGTCTCCCAAGAAGGATCCTGAGGCAAGAGCAGCTCCACTGTCAGATGAGACACTGGAAGGAGGCGCAGCTGGGTGCCCTGCAGACCTGCAGGTGTATCAAGTTGCCCCACTTGAGACCTTCTTGCAGCTTTTTCTTTTCCATCAGCAGCCTTGCTGTTTACAAATGCTTCTTCTTTTTAATTGCCTCTGCCCTGACAGCCAAGCTCTTGGCACAGATGGTCAGGACCACAATGAGGACTCCGACCAGGAATGTAACCAGAGGCCAAAGGAAGCAGTGCAAGAGGACAGTCTCATCATGGGTGCGCTTCAGCATCACATCATCTGGCCTGTGAAGAGGAGAAACAGAAGAGGGAAAAAATATAAATCAACTTGACATCATCAATTCATCATAAGTAGAAAGCATCTGCCATGGAAACAATAAAGGTGTTTTATTTGCAACAGTGTTAGAAAATGAAGTGGACCATTTCATTCACTGCTTTCATTTGCCTGTCTATCACCAGCACCCATGGCAGGCTGGGAGAGCTTTCCACTTGCAGTGTTTACAGGCTAACAAGTTCATTCAGATTAAAAAAAAATAAAAAAAAAGTTTTGGTACTTTAGTTCTTCCAGGGGTCATAGTCATCACAAACAGCTGCAAGAGATAAAATATCACAGTGTGGATTGAAAAACCACTCCAGCAAAAACTTAATACCAGGCAACAGTTATACATACATCTACCTGAAATGACATCAGACACTGTGCAATGAGTTTAAAGTGCAATTAAAGCTTCCCTTTTAGCTTTGAGCCCTGATATGTTCATGGGGCTACATGGAGGCTCCTGACAAAGCCCTGCTGTGGTCGGGCTCTGGATGGAGAGCCAGTCCCTGTCCTCAGTGGTGCGCTGCTGGTGGCCCAGGTTGGCCCAGCCACACTGGCAGTCGATTCTGAACAAAACCTACCCCAAGGAGGACCCCTGCCCATCCCTGAGGTGCCAGAGGCTCCCAGCTCAGCTCCTTCTCAGCAGAGGCTATGTCAGCAATAAGCTGCCATTGGGTTCTGCAAACACCAGCTGCCCAGTGGACTTGAGCACACTCCTACACGGACACACTGGGGAGCCTCCCCTGAAGATCTGACCACCTGAGCCTCTGCCAACAACATCTAACACACAGTCACCCATTTCCAAAAACAGAGAGGAGGAGAATAACATAGAGGAAGCATCTCAAGAAGCTTGGAAATTCAGCCGTGCCACGTGTCTGAAAGAGCAAGTATCCATCTGCCACTTCCAAGTCTGGAAAGTTGATTGGGAAATCTGATGGCAGATTTTCCTCAGGTTTGGCTCTTTCTGCTCTCCCTGCAGTTTAACAGTGTTAAATCAGTCTTGTGGCATTTGCACTTCACTGCTGCTTTCCCATCTACAGAGACATTCAGTCTGCTGGAAAACTAACTGCAAGGGAAGCAAACAGAACTTTATCTAATTAGGAAATTATATAGCCTTGGTTCACATTGGTCCTCACTTGCACTGAACACTCCCATCCCATGTTGCTTCCTCAACACTACCTGATGCTCCGTGGAGCAACAAACCTCACAGCCTAAAATCCTGGCAACCCAGGCCCATCTAGACAGGTCCAGGGAATTAAGCTCTCCTAATGCAGTTGCACATGGAAACAAATCCCTGTGCAATGGCTGTGCTGTCTCTCCCCCTGTAGTTTCTCCTGATCAGAAAGCAGCAGTAAGAAAACATTCTCTGTAGGGGAAACAAGAAGAAACGCTTTTTCCTTCACTGAGAAGTTAATTAATGGAGATGCCTGCAAATCTACAGGGTTTTATCCTTAAGGAGTTGGTGGAGCCAGACCACCAAGCTACACCTGATCCTGATTTAATTGCACCTCCATTTGCATTTGAGGGTCTCTCCTCCAAAACTGCTGTGTGGATGTTCCTCTGCACTGTGCCAGCCTGCAAGTCCCAGAAGCTGACACCACACATCTCTCTTTATTTGTGTAGTAAGGAGCAGAATAAGACTCTGTTTATGAGCAGGTCAGCTATATGAAAGTTGAAACTCAGCAACATAAGAAATGATCAAAAGAAATACAGGTGTATTCAGTAGGAACACATGAAGTCTGCTCAACCGAGATCCTCCAGACACATGTGGAGCCATAAATTGAATAAAATATATTAACTTTATGGGCACAAACTCACCAGACTATGCCATATCAGTGGCAGCACCCGGACAGAAAAATCCTTTCACAGCAGGTATAATACTGCTTCCCTCATATTTATTGTATCATCGTCTGTGAATAACAGAGTGCTAATTGGCAAGGAGGCCGTAAGTAGGCAGCATTCAGTCCTCACAGCTCTCAGCTTACAAGTGACATTGATTTTTAAGTATTTTTTTGAAAGTGGACACTAATCACAGAGTTCAAAAATAAGAGGCAAGCAAACAAACTAGAAAACTGGATTCAGTTAAAGAAAATAAAGTGTAATTGGGGAGAGCAAGATATCTTTTTGACTGAATCTTAGATATTTTGGAAAAAACATCTTGTACCCAAATGTAGCAACAATGGATGCCAAACACTCAATATAGGTGAGACTGTAACTCTTGTAACTTAGCAATTTAAGAGAGTTTCCCTTTTGGAAAAGAATCAAAAACTTAAATGAAGCCTCAGGATGAGGTCTGGATTCAGATGGATATTATTGCTATTCTTAGCTACAACAAGAGTCCCTGTGCAATTCCTAAACGGCAGAAGGTGTGCAGCAATTCACTATCACAGTGTCTCTTCAGACAGTGCATCAGGTCATGACTGGGTCCTCCAAAAATACATCATTAAATGACTACTGGCACCACATTTAAGACATTAAATGTCCCTCTTTAGTCAAGGGGAGGGAGAAGCACTCCTGGAGAGTGACCCGGTGCACAGGAGAGCTCAAGGACCCTCCAGGATGTAGCCACTCAGTACTGACTCTTGGTGCCAAAAAATGGTGGGACAAATCTCAGCCTTGCTCCTACTTGGTTTAATCTGCATGATTATTCTGGAAAAACTACCATGCTTTCAGCTGCTCTTTATTTTATCCCAAATTAACTCTCCAGTGCAGACAGGCAATTCTAGACCCCAGGACTGAATAAGAAAAACTAATAAAGGCCGACAGCACTGCTGGCAGATAGACCACACACTCCTGGATGGCAATGTCCTAGTTATGGTCTGTAACAGCCCACAGACACTTATCAAGATCAACTTCAGCAGCATATAAAGCCATTCCTTTGTGTTCATATGATTCCCTCCCTGTCCTGTCAGGACCAGCTCCTCTTTCCTGCCTCTGCTGACCCGTGCAGAGATGTTGCAGGGTGTAGGGGACAGCACTGGGCAGTGCTGGGGCAGTGAGAGGAGGCAGCAGAGCAGGGGAGCCTGGGATCAGCAGTGCCCAGTTGAGGACCCCTTCCCCGCAGATCCATCACTAGAGCTGACAGCAGTTATGGAAAGCACTCTGGAAAACAGCTTAGAGAGTGTAATGGCAACAGAGGGTCTCACTGAAATGCAGCTTTTACAGCAGAGGGAAATACCTGAAGAGGGATTATTGAAAAAGGAAATGTTTATTATTTTCCTTTACAAGATAACTCCTTTTACCTCTGTTTTTTGATACTGAGATTGGAAACAATGGCAAATCACAGCTTCCAAAGCGAGGAGGAAAAAAATCAGCCCTGCTGCTGCTGCACCTTCATGACATGCTGCACAAGACCCCAAGCCTGTTGCACTGCTGCTGTAGCCCAGGGTCAGTGCTGGCAGGGAGTCTATGCGGCCAAGCTGGCCAATGTAATCTAAGAAGGAGCATCCAGGCAGAGGAAATCACCCCTGACCAGGAAAAACAGCCCAGTGGCACATGGGTTATATTGGACTTGCAAATCCACAGCGAGAGCAGCCCAAGGAGCGAGGGACAGGTGGCCAGACGTCCTCTGCAGCAGGAATGCTGCAGCTCCAGCAGCCCCACGGCTCTGCAGGAGATGCACAGAGGTCACCACAGGGGCTTGGGGGCTTGTCATGCCCCCACATGCTGCACCCAGCAAACAAGTTAACTGGCTCATCATCAAGTTTTTGCTTGCTCCTTGGAAAGAGGGGTAGGGAGGCACAAGGTGGGTGGTGGTAGACTTACCAGTCTCATCTCAGCAGCCAGAGACTGGCATGGTGGGCAGTGTGAGTGAGGGCCTGGGAGGCCACTGGGCTAAAAACCTGAAGAATAAACACGGTTGCTTTCAGGTGATCCATGCCAGACTAAAAACTGTAGGTATTTCACGTGAGATTTGTAAGGTCTAAAACAAGAGACTGGGGGAAAATTAGGAGATAAAGTAAGTTAGAATCAGAAGTAATCAGATGAATATCAAATATAGCAAAGGCATTAGTGATTAATTAACAGGTTGGCCTAGAGAGACTGGATTTCACTTCTTCCAGGCTGTTTGTTATCCTCACATGACAGCATCAGTTATGGGGAAGAGCTATCCTCCACCTCCTGAAGAAATGAATTCTCAGGCAGAGCAGAATGGCCACCACCACTTGGCAAGCTTCTGAAGGAACTGGCAAGGTGTGCGGAGCAGCTGTCCTGTGACATCTGAGTCTGTAGAGTGTTTGGGGACAACCCTGGGACAACTCCTAAGCGATTCTGCAATGAACCCTGAGGGATAAGGAACAAAATCTGCTTGCAGAAAGTACCCAGAGCAGCATCCAGGACTGCAGAAACCCTGCTTGGCCTGCAGTACACAGCTGCACTGCTGGGCAGCTCGCTGCAGCATCCTGCTCGGGACTGAGCTTGTTCCTCGGGTGCTGCATCAGCCCCCCTCGGGGACTATCAAGAGCTGGATATGTCCTGCTGTCCTGGAACAAAAACCGTTGGCTTTTGCTCCAAGGCTTACACGAGAGCTACTCCACATGTTTTTGAAATAGAAATATGCACACAGAGACACTTGTCTTGCCAAGCACAGACCGAGAGCATCACCAAGAGAGCAAAGTCACTGGCAGTGAACAGTGAGCTTTATGTGGCCTGTCACAGTTAATTCTGAGCCCTGAGATAATCACTATGGCTGCACTGTGAGAGGAGCCAGAGCTGGGCTGTGCCAGCAGGGCCAGACCCCCAGTGTAGTACCGCACCATGATGGAGATGACCAAGAGTTCAGAAACCAGACACACTAGAAGGCCTTCAGGAGAATGAGCCTTTGGGTGGTTATCACCTGCCCGTGGAACAGAAGCACACAGCGGAAGGAAAAACTGCTGCTACCCAAGAACTTTAGATACAGGCTAAAGGAATAGAAAATTTTAGCTGAAATGTCTGGATTCTACCTCTAAAACAATAACTCTTATCACCA